CTCAACATATGAACTTCTTCTTAATGACCACCAATAAAAAGACATCTTAAAATACTGTTTTTGCTGTAAGAAAGTTGAAAGCACAACCAGTGCTTTCCTTAAGGAAATCTAATCCCATGTCAATCTGCCCATAATAGTAATGGAGAACAGCATTTCCTTCTTACACATCTTAAATACTTTAAACCTCTAACATTCTCCTTAACCTCATCTCTTGCCAAAACAACTTGGATTTTCTTCCATGTTTATGTAGTTGTTTCCTCGATCTCCAATCATCTGCATTTCTCTTCTCTGAACAATTTCCTAGTGGTCCAAATTCCTTGTCAATTTTGGCACTCAGATGCTGTCTGCACACTGAAACTATACCAACGATAAACCTCACGTCTCACAGACACTGCTCCAGTTTAAACATCCCAGCAAGATATTTGCCTTTTCTGAAAACAGCACGACAGTGACTCATGTTCAACTTGTGATCCAGTACACCCCCTGCTCCTTTTTCCAGCACCTCATCAGTTATTCCTCACTCCACATTTGTACAACTGCTAATTCCTGCCTAATGCAGTGCTCTGCATCTGCCTCCAGGATTTCAGCGTATTTTTCAGGTCATTTTAAACTCTCATCATGTCTTCCAACACTGCATTTAATAAGCACATTTAATCAGCCATTTGACCTGTGCTTTCATGAAAGGTCAGTACATCCAGGACAGAAACAGTCAGTATAATCTCATTTCAAAGCTGAATCATTAATTACTGTCCTCTGACCAGGATCACCTACCCAATTTTACATTTTCCAAAGTCCACTTTCCTCCAGACTTTGTGTCCCTATGAGTCCATCAAAATGTGGAAAATCTCAGTTTAAAAAGAAGAGACAACACCACTACTGCCTCGCCATATCCACAAAGTCTTCTGCTCTGAAATAAAACAGTATTACACTTTTGATGCAATTAGCTCCCACACGTATCAGTGCATGCTGATGTTCTGCTGCTACTTATCTTCCAAGCACTTGAAAATACAATGTTTGCCTGTTTATCTCAGTTTTTTCCGTCCACTGGGATTGTGAACTGTCAGACATCCAGCTTATCTTCTTCAGCTCTCTTCCATCACAACTCTCTTAAGAGATGTCCTTTATTGGTTTTCAGTACTTTGGTGCACCTCTAGGAACCTTTCAGCATTTTTTTATCTTTTTAAAGCCACTCTGAGAATTTTACATTGAAGCTTACCAGGGCCAGCTGATGAAGAAATATTTTATGTCATCACACCCCAGTGCAAAATCACAAGTATTCACACAAGCCTTAAGATTAACCACCTGCATGGAACTACATTAGAGGGGACAAGCAAATTAGGTGACAAGTATTTAAACGGTCTGCATCTCCTGCAGATACATACTTCGTCCACTGAATCAAGAACACATTTTTCAGTCTTCCTCCTCCCATTAATGGACTTTCACAGGAACCATGTCACTTCTGTGCCCCCTTGCTAGTTGCTACTTCATCTGCATTTTGACCACAGAGGCCCTGCCAATCTCACGCACAGGGCTCCACGCAGACGGCGCTGAACTTCCTTGCTTAAGTCACAAAAGAGACAGTGCTTCAAATTTTTGCATGGACCACATTCATCAAAACCAAGCAACAGCAACAAACCACCTCTCCTTTGTTATTTAAGGCTGCCTTTCAGCTACCAAACCAGTGAAGTTTGCTGTGCTATTTCACTGAGGAATAAGGGTGTCAGACTTGAGGCTATAATACAGCTACAGTTTACTACAAACTGAGCTTTTGTTCTTTGCTTAGCAGATTATTTAACAAAGGAAATAGCTTTTTTTAATGAATGAAAAACTATTTTTAGTATAGTATTGTATAAGAGTGAAAGGGAAACACTTCAGTATTACCATAGCTTCAAATGCTCTCTACAAGATCTAATTAAGAAATTAGGATTCTTGAATAAGAATTTGTGTTGTATGGACTCCACTACCACGCAAAACATAATCACACTGAAGCACTAATCAAACCACTGGGTTTCATTTCCTCACTGAAAAGCACCAAACACACTAAACAACACTGTGCCTACTACACTCCACGCTGTGATCATCTCAAACAAAAGCACACTGAAGTACCTACTCAGTTCTCCTATGCCAATCTTTAAGCAACCCAAAGGATGAGTCCACCCAAATCAACGATGAAGAAGTACTGACGCATTATGCCAATGCTGTTTGTATAAAGAGGAAAAGAAATCTGAAAGTTCCTCTTTCTAGTTTGCAAGATGTAAAAATTTTACAAAAATTACTTAAAGAACATTCTTCCACTGTGTCATATAGGAATGCAATCTCTTCCTTTCATGCCAGCTATCACCAAGCTCTTAACAAAAAGACATTTAATGAGGAATGTGTTCTCCCCAGTCACTGACAAAGCTACTGGAGCGCATCTCTCAACCCAGAGCTAGAAGCACTGGCTCCTACAAGAGATCTGAGACAAATCAAAATAATCCTCTGCTGGGATTCTTCAGAAATATGCTTAGCAGTATCTGAACAAGGAAAAAGTTAATGATGAACAGGCATGATGAACAGCTGGCATTTCCGTGTCATTTCCCAGTTCTAGTACAAATTTCCTCTATCACATGGGCAACCACTGCAACATGGCTTTGACAATAAAAACTCATTTCCATAGAATGCCCCCAGAATAACTGGAATTTGGCTCCTTGCTGCTAAGAGTATGTGTGGTATTGACTGCCTTGTACTCCACACAGAAGACAGCCAAGATGCTATAACCTCAAGGCAAATGATAGAAATTAATCTTAGGGGCCATGTCAATAGTTTTTTGTTTGTTTGTTTTTGTTTTTTAAACATTTCTTAAGGATTCCTTAGATTCATAAGGATTCATAGAAGAGTTTGCCTGATGCACTACACCTGCCACATGCTGTGCTAGCAGAAGACTGAACCACAGTTTCTCAATCTTACTCAGCTACCGTGATGTAACTTCCCTCTGTGCTACATGCCCTTCCTCCAACACTAGGCATGGCATGCAGCTGACCCAGCACAGTTTTGCTCTTCCCTCCCCTCTCTTCAGCTAGAGATGAATACGCACCTGCCCCGGCCATCAAACCCTCTTTGGGTTTTCTGAGGGGAAAAGATCAAACAAACAAAAAAATGAACTACAGAAATAATCACATACTCTGGAGGACAGCTAACAGAAAGAAAGACAGGATGAGAGCATGAGCTCAAGAAGTTTGAAGGACACCACTGCAAAAAACCAAGCAAGAAACCTAGAGTAATACTACTTCTAGAAGGCACTGAGGAAGTGACAGCTGCTGTCCAGCAGCTCCACTGGAGTCTGAGTCTGCAGAGTTGTTTGCAGTCCTTTCACTAAGCTTCTTTCTCCTCCTGACATAGAGCTTTAACCAAAATCAAAGTCAACAGGATCTCAGAGCTTTGTGGATGGAGAATGTATAAATCGAAAGGTGAAGGAACATGGACAGCCAGAACCCTACAAGGGGTTCTGAGATGAAAGGGGAACAAATAAAGATCTGGAGATGTGCACAGCTCACCATGCTAAAATCAAATGTGATACCCTATAAGCACATGAAGTTGGACAGAGTTGCTCTGAAAGACGGAGACACTCAGTTATCATGGTAATAGTAGCACTGTAGGGATCCAAGCAATGTCAAAATCAAAAGGAGTAACTTGTAATAGCAATGCACAGAGTGCAATAAAAACACACTGTTTAAGAGTTTAGCCTACAAACTGCTTCTAAAATCAACAGACACTAATCTAGACTGGAGACATATCGAAATGAGATGTAAGTAGCAACAAATTACACACTAAACAGAAAGGTGGTTTTGATGACACGCTTTCATTCGCAGGTTACCTGTAGCAATGCAAGTCTTCCTACTTTGTATCTCGACTGCACACTGCTCCAAGCCACGGAACATTTAAGCTGGCAGAGTACAGAGGCAGAAAAGCAGCCAGGGCAAGAGTTCATTTCACAGCAGTACCAGCCTGAACAATAACCTGGGAGAAGGCCTTCAGCCTGCCCTCAGTTGTGCCACACTAGACACGGTCTTCTGAATCACTTATTTCATCGCAACTGAAATGTTTACCCATTTTCTGAAAGACTTCAAAAGCTGAGTTCCTTCAATGACATCAGATCTCCCTAGTTGATCGAGGCTCTCACTCCGCAATGCCCCACGCTGCCAAAAGTAAAAGTTATTCCTCACAGTTATTCCTCAACAATGGTGTTTCACCGGGCCATCTTATCAATATGTTTCTCAGAAGTCAGGAGAGCAAGATTAGTAGCAATAAATCTTCAAACCAATTCCACAGTTCCAAAGTTTACACAGTACATATTCATCAAACACTGTAAACTCTTATTTGTAGCTAACTAAAAGAAAAAGCAGTTTACAGAAACAGCATGTATAGGAACTGTTGATCACGGCCTGAACCTCTGATTGACAACCTAAGCAACGAGTCAACCATGGGAGCACAGGTGAAGGCAATTCACCTGTGCTACCAGAAGAGGTGGAGCCTGGCTGCACTCCTCCTAGATCTCATTTAAGTGTTAACTGCCACTGAGGAAGGATTTCTTTCTGGAGATCGCTTCTTGTGGAGTTTACAGCAAGACTGCAACACTGGTGAGCACTTCCATTTATTTTTATTACCTTTCCACTGTGATAATCTTATTAGGTCTAACCTCTGTATACCTACTGACTGTACAGAGCAGTACCCTTACTGCCACACCACACGCCAAGACAAAAATCTCCTCGTTGTACATGCAAACAAAGGTCAATTGCAGTTACCTATGACAGCAATATGTGTGGACATAAGGTTCAGCACAACATGACCTGTAACATGCACTGTTTTAAAATAACACCAAAAGGACTCTTCATCCACAAGTTCAAGAAGTTCAGTGTTCAGCTGTGGAAACGTAGTACCTTACAACAGTTAGATTTATCTTAATAAAAAGCAGCAACTCCCCCAAATGTAGTGAAAACCGAGGGCAGAAAAACGTAGCTAACCTGTCTGAAGAGCCAGTGTGTGGACAAATCTCATACAATGGCTGAGTCACCTGCAAATTGAGGAGAAAAAAAAAAAGCAGTCAAGAGGAATGAACAAGCCATGCAAAATTTGATCTTAATTGCATTAGCAAAGAAAACACTACATGGCTCTAGTGAGGGCACACAGCAAAGAAAGCATTCTGAAGAATTCTAAACCCAGAACAAAATTCTAAAACCACCACACACAAGGAGAAAGCAGGCAGCAGGTACAGCCAACCAGGAGCAGTGACCACACAAAGCAGTCTGGATGTCAAGCAGCCCCTGCTGCTGGAGGATTTGCTATCTCAGCTGAGGGGAAACAAGAGCCTCTTGAACTGCTGCAGGCATGGAGCAGCCAACCACAACCCTGCAGGTACCTGGTGCTCGTGCTGCCAGCACACAGCTGCCCAGCAGTCTTCCAGAACCAGAATGGTGGATATTAAAGTTCTGCCTCTTCACCTGAAGTATTTCAAGGAAATCCTACAGTTGTAAAAAAGGGAGCTGCGCTTTCCATAGTTAACATCGCGTTGGAACTGCTCTAAGTTCCAAAGCAAAGGGATCCTCATTTCAGCTGCCAACGTGACTGTGGAGGTAGCTGAAGCTGGAAGCGCTATGGCCAATTATGGAAAATACACAGCACAACAACGGGCCAGTAAACCACACCAAACTTCACCGAGCAGGAGAACACAAAGCCAACGTGTGCCTTTGTCACAGCAAAGCAAGCCCCTGATATTTTCCGGAACCCGGCAATGCCGCCCGATCGATGCCACCGCTCTGAGAATCGCCCCATCACCGCTTCCAGCTCCGGCTCTCAACGCGGGTGGCAGTTTCCCAGAGGCTCAAGGACGCGGCGGCGGCTGTCAGGGGCCGCAGCCCAGGCCCAGCGGACGGAATCGCTCCGCTGACAGCAGCATGGCAGCGCCACGGCCGCTCACACGCGGACGGGCCCACCTCGCGCGCCCGGCCGGGAACTTTCCCTCCACGCACGACCGCCGCAGCACCGATAAGCGAACCGCAGCCGCGCGGCTCGACAGGGCACCCTGTCGGTAGCCTGTTCGGCAGCCGGAGCCGAACGCAGGTTCCCCCCCGGGGCGGCCGCAGCCGGAAGGCCCCACACGTGCCGCGGCCCCTCCCGCTGCATAGGCGCGCGGCGGGCCCGTCATCGCCGGCAGCAGCCCCCGGGCTACGCCGCAACCTCAGCGCCCGCTCCTCAGCCGCACCTGTCGGCGGAGAGGCTCCTCCGCACCTGCTGGGCCGCGCCCGCCGCCACCCGCGCGGCCCAACTCACCGACGGCGCCTCAGCTGAGCCCCATGCCGGCGGGCGGGCGCGGGACCGGCGTGGGACCGGCTCTCCCCCGCCCCACCCCCACCCCCGCCCGCTCGCCCGGCGCCGCGCGCGCGGCTGCCTCGCGAGGCGCGACCGGATCCGCCGCCAACCGGCTCCACGCGCCGGCCGCGCTGGGCGGGGGCAGGGAGGGGCACGGAAGTGACGTCGTCGCCGCCGGAAGAGAGGGGGGCGATGTGGGCGGGGCTTCGCGGGATGGGCGGGGCACGGGGCGGGGCTTGGGTGGGGGAGGCTGGGGTTGGAAAGTGGGGGGTGAGGGCCGCGTGCTGGGGCCGGGCAGTTCCGAGGCTGCGGCCTTTTAGGGGTGTTGGCCCCTCAGGTACTGCTGAAACCTATGGGCAGCCGGGACCGCATCAGGGACGTTGCGGCCTGAGCCTCACTGGAGTCTTCTTTGGGATGCTAGCTGCTGGAATAGCGGGGTGGGTTCTGCGTGAGCTGGGCTGCGATGCTTTGGGGCTGGGCTGCGGTGCCTTTTTCCAGATATTTTTCCACAAAGGCAGCTGTTGCTGCAAGGATGTTATGGAGCAGTGAGATAGAGGGGCGGGGAAGCAGCTCATGGAAAACTCCCTGTAAAAGGCAATTGTCCTTTGGGAAAGTGTTGGGAAATTGCAGCAGAAGCACCACCTGCAAAGGGCTGCGTTGGCTTGAGCACAGCCAAAATAAATGGCCACAAGTTGCCCAGGGCCTGCTGTCCACAGCCCAACAGGAGGGCAGGGGGCTAGGCAAAGGGCTAGGCAAAGGGCTAAAGCAGCATGGCTGACTTCTCCTGCTGTTAATTACTACCCTATCAGAGTATCCACCTTTCCAAGTGCTTTACTAGAAATTACTTTAAAATTTTCCAGGTAGCATATAAAGTTCACGTGGCTCCACTAAACATACCTTCAGGTAACTGACAGGTTCTTTTTCCAGATCATAGAATCATTAAGGTTGGAAAAGATCTCTAAAATGATAAAGTCCATCCATCTACCCACCCCACCACACCCATTAATCCACATCCCTCTGTACCACACCTCTGTGCTCCTTGAACACCTCCAGAGACAGTGACTCCACCACAGCCTCCCTGGATAGCCTGCGCCAGTGCACCACTGTGACTCTCCTGCCACACACCAACACTCTTTTGAGGAAGAAATGTTTCCTAATAACTGATCCAAAGCTTCCCTGGTGCAATTTGAGGCCATTAGTTCTCATCCTAAATGTGTCACCTTTCCTCCCAGGGAATAGGGTAGGACTGAGACCACAGCACAGGAATTCATGTTTCTGCTCTGACTGCCCTGCAGATGAAGAACTTCAAGCAGAAGTACTGCTAGGCAAATGAAGCAATATTAATCTGGCACAACTTGCCACATTTTCACAGTGCAGGCCTCTGAAGACTTCCTGAGACACAGGCATCTATGTTGGGATGCATCACATAAAGATTTTGAAGAGCACTATAAGCTATTCAGGGGTCTGTAAGCCATAACAGAATTGTATTTGTTTTCATATAATACTGTTTTCTTTCTGATAGTGCTCCTTCCCTCCAGATTAAGGGAATTGGTCAGGGTTAAGTCCTATCACTTGGAACTGCAGCAGGTGCAGGAAGGGTAACAGGCTGAGCGCACCGTGGCCATTGCCCCAGCTGCACACTCACAGTTCTTCCTAGGCACCAGTTCCAGTAATCACACATCTCCACGATGAGTCAGCCAGCAAGGTGAGCCAACAGGAAGCTGTGCCAACATAATGTAGAAAAGGAAGTTTTCTCTTGGCCCAATGAGTTGAAGTGATTCACCATGCAGGCTAATGACTCCTGTATCAGGGAACAAGAGAAAAAGAAAAGGAGAAGCAAATCTGCCCCTTCTGGAAGCCATGCACAGATTAGGTGTAATACTGAGCTTGCTTAAATCAGAATGATCCCCTTCCTCACCACAGTATGTGTTCTTACCAAAAACACTTTTAAAACGCCATTTTCTGTTACTGTGTTAACTCTGCTAATGTCACAGTTTAATTATGTGTTGGCAGCATGCTTCATTAACTTCCTTACTGCTTTTGCCAAAGGTTGGGGTCAGATTAGCCATGTTTTGGTAACTGCTTACCTGGGACACAGCAGGTACTGTTCCAGGATAAAGACTCAACATTATTCCCCTAGTTCCGTGTGCAGGCTTTCCAGCTCTATTTTTAAAGATGTTTATAAACCAGTGTTTTTCATTCATTCTTGTTACATGTAGAAGAAGAAGAAAAAAATCCATTAAATATAGGTAAATCATTCTGTCCATTTTCCACATGAAGAAAAATTCACTGAATAATTTTTTTTTTCCCCCTCACTGGAGTGTTGCTGTCTGTGTCTGACAGCTAAATTACTACTGTGTTTTTCTTTCTGCCTTGTGGAAACACCACTGGGTGGAGATCTATCATATTGGCTATGTATATTTTCACTACATTTCCCTAATTAATTACCCCTCTTTCCAAACTGTTGATTTACCCATTGCTGTCAGCTTTCCCAATTTTCATCTATATGCACTTCTTTATTGTTGCCTATCCCTCCCCTTCTGAGCAGCGTGTTTTATTTTAAAACCAGAAAAATCTCCTTTCGTGACACTGAAATTGTGTCACAGAATAACACATTTGTGAAGAACTCTGCCAGTTTCCATTCCGATTGCACTGAAGCATTTCCTCAGTCTTTCTTACCCATAATTTTTAGCAGTTTGGCACTTTTATAGCACTAAATGCCCAAACACATTGCCTGGTGGAACTCATCACTCAGTGCATTGCACGGGATGAGGCTGCAGTAACTTCCAGAGAGTGGCACGCAGCGCAGTGCTGCCCTAAGCTTCTTGTTGGCTTTTCTGTATGTGCAGTTGGTTGCATTACCTTTATAACTTACCTTAAAACTATTGCACAGCTGTCACTGCATCTCAGCACACTCAGATCACTTCTTGAGTTGGTTGGCAAACAGTCCAAAAACTGCACTTCCTTCACAGACTGTGCAGTCTGTGCATTACATGGGAGATGCAGTGGAGAGCACAGGGAAAGAGACAGCTACGTGGCAGTGTCCAGCACAGGCACATGAAAGCAGGAGGGCTGAAATAAGCATTGTTCTGCCTGGCTTTTGAAAGAAAAGTGGAGGCAACTCGTGTAAATGGGAGCAACAGACATCCAAATGTAGCCATGCACAACTGTGGTGAGGAAAAGATACCTTTTGGACTAAGTTCTGCCTGGTGGAAGAGTTCATCGTGAATATTATGAAGTTACTGCTGTTAATCAGAAACTCTTATTCTGTCATTCCCTGTTAAATAAGAGAAACAAGGTTTGCTTTGATACACACATATACATTCACCAAAATTATTTTAGTCATTTTCCATTAAAGATTAACTTCTCACAATATTTTTCAACCCATTGCATATTCCAGCATATTATCCTTATCTACCCTCAAAGTTTTCCCTTGCACCTAATTGCTTTTCTTTTTCAGTCTCCAGCAAATTTGAACATGTTTATTGCTTCACAAGCCTCAAACCACGCAAGCTTTTATTAATTCAAAAAATTAATTTTGTGGTTGGCATGTTCCCTCCACCCATCTCCTTAAGCTGTTCCAGCTGCTTTCCAGTTCTCTTGGCACGGCTCTGGTTTGTAGCACAGGAGATGACTGGCAGCCCTGGCACTCCGACAGCATTGCTAGCTATGCCTTTTCTAGGAAAGGGACAGGTCACAAGATGGAATGAATCATGTCTTATCACAAATCCCTCTGTTCAGTTCTTTTAAAGCATCAGGTCTTCAACCTGGTTAGAAATAATAAATAAATAGAAATAGCAGTTTTTCCTCCATTCGATTCTCCTTAGTGAGATTTGTTAACAAGGAAACGAGCCAGGGCACACACTCCAGCTCTGTCACTGCTTTTGGAGATGTTACAGCCATTTACAGCCAGCGTAATTAAAAATTGTGGGAACACACCAGCAGCTTGGGGCTGGAGGACAAAGTAGCTCTAACTGTATGTTCAAATCAAGTCCAGCAGCCTTTCTTAATGGGCTTCCCAGGAATACTTTGATTTCATAGCCATATATATTCCACCTGAATGTACTCTCTGGTGGATCTGAACTGAGTACAGGTCCCAATAAAGCTGGGTGTTACCGACACCTTTATGACTTCCTTTGAGTAGAACAGTTTCTGCATGTGACACTGAGTGCTCCCTTCCACAGCCTTTTCCTGGTACAGCAGGTTTGCACTCATTTGTGACCCTTGGGAGGCACAGATGTGAATGATGCCAATCAGCTACGTAGCATTTAGTGAGTGCCATTTCTCAAACTGACTACTGTACTTTATATGTTTTTCCACTGTTATCTCTCATCTTCAGCTATAGATTCCTGAGGTCTGCGTTACCTGCTGCGTAGTACCTAGCTGCCAGGACCAAGGATTGTACATACTTCTGCAGTACAGAGAACAAAAATCTTTTTGCTTTTAGAACATTTGCAAGGCTTTCCTCCTTTGTACATGATTTCTAAATCAGCAAACACAAAAGCCTAACAGGAGATCACATTTGTGTACAAAATCCATCTTGTGCCAAAACTAAGATATCCAAGTAGCAGAGAAAATAAATCAAAACCCACTGTTTATTTATTTGGTCTCCTTAATATGTTAGTGTGTTCCACCCTGCTTTTTCTGGTAGGATTGTATAAATATGAGCCTTATCTCAGAGTAGGTTCAGAGACCCACCTCTGTAACGCACAGGCACACAGCTGGCCACATCTGGCCCTCAAAGCTGGAAACACACCTTTGCCAGCACTGTGCCACCCAGTCCTCCCCATGGATGACCAGAGACTCCTGGGGGACACATCCAGCCCCATTTGTTTGACTTTCTCGGCAAGGAGAGTCTGTTCCTACTTTTTCTACCTTTGTTTTTCCTAACCTCAGCTACTTCCAGGCTGGGGCTCACTGCCAGCAGTGGGTCAGCAGGGCTGGCACGAGCACTGGCACTGGTGCCATGCACTGTGTGCTCCCACACATAACTGGCACCTGGATGGAACAGGGGCTCCTGAACCAAGTGTCCAAGCTTCTGAGGGCACAGCCAGATGTACAGAGTGCCCTGTGAGATGGTGGTGAGCAATCTGCAATTGCAGTTTTAGTCTTTTAGATGAGTCATACACAGCCACAAGCCTTTAAATGTCTCCTTTTAAAGTTTCTTAAACTACACTGGCAAGTCCAAGTCGTTAAACAATTTATTATCACTTCTCTGCCAGAGCATCTTGTGAAACAGCTTACAGAGCAGATTGTACACAGTACCCAAGACTGTCACAGCTGAAGCCTTTCTTTACTTGTGTCACCCTATCCCTTTTCTCCTTCTTCCAGACATTCAGTTCTTCTTGATTTTAAATTATTTTGCCAGATATTTTCATTACAACAGCAGCATATCTAATAAGTCACCTCTTTACCAGCAGTCTCAGTAGAAAGAGAATTCATTGCTCCATTTATTGGAGCAAGATCTTAAACAGTCACATTTACAGTAGATAGAATAAATATCATGCTTTCCCATTCCTGTAGCTAGCCCCACGACTGCCAAGCAAAGCAGCAAGGAGGCTGTGCCTGCTTCCAGCCTACTGCTCAGGTACGTACTGGTAGAGCTACTGACTTTTCTAAGAAGTATTCCAGTAAAACCCAAGCCAGCACAGACATACCATAATAAACAAATAAATAATAATAAACAACATACCATAATAAACAAATAAATGAAATGCAGACAAATCTCAAACACAAGAACTGAGAAACATCACTTTTGCCTAAAGAAGTAAGTTTTCTTGCATTTATTATTTGGCTGCAAGTAAAGAAACAGTTAAACAAGTCTGCCTCTGCCCAGCCACCACAGAGGAAAGATTCAAATTATCGAGCAGCTTTCATAACTGAGCAGATATCCTCTCAAGTTGGAGAATGCACACACACGCTGCTAATGGACCTCACCATCTAGCAGCACAATGTTTTTATTTTATATTAGAATTGCTTGAAAATGGGGCCTTTAATACCTCTATTGTTGAACATTTCTCCCTGAAAGTATGTTTAAAGGACTTTGATAATCAGACTCATTTCCTTAATTTCAAGCATATCTGAAAATGTATTATCCCAAGCTGATGGCATCAAAGAATGAATTAGGAATAAAGCCAAGTGAATAAAAACAAAGATATTTCCTTTCAGTTACTGTGCTGCCTTCACAGGCTGCAGAGCATTAGATTACTGAAATACCACTGGTACATTCTTCAAGATCTGCAAAGATCAGTGCCTTGCTTTCATATCTTCAGCATGGAACAAGAATGCAATCCTTGTTATGCTCAGTCCAGCAAAGGCTCTTCTGTGATGAGCAGCTTTAAATATGCAACACTGGAAAAAAGTCTTTGAACTAGTGTTGTCTGCATTCCTGGTTTCCAAGACATATTTATCATAGCAAAGTTGCACTGCTGAACTGAAAAATAAAAACAGCACCCTGGCTTTGATGACCTTTTTAAGGAAAGATCAGGCAGCACACGCAGCACTTGCGTTCACCTACTTCTACATGGGTTGTGCAGAAGCTACTGCAGCTGCCCCGCGTCCAGCTGAGGGCCTGCACACACCTGTCTGCTTCTGATAGGATCTGGCCCAGAGGGGACCACGAGACTTGGACGAGTGCATAGAATCATTGCATGGCTTGGGTTGGAAGGGACCTTCAAGCCCATCCAGTCCTGACAGCTGCCGCGGGCCGGCTGTCCCCCACCAGCTCAGGCTGCCCAGGGCCCATTCAACCTGGCCTTTAACACCATGTAGCTATGATCCAGTAACCCACTGTTCTTATGATAGCATTCCTACAGCATGTTTTCATCATCTCCTACTACTCCCGCCTGAACCCTCTTCTGGGTGGGACCCGACAGCCTCACAGCCCTTCTTTGCACACACCCTTGCTGCAAAGGCCCACCCAGCTCCAAAGGCCAGCCGCAATATCACGGAAAATGGCCACGGTGGGCAGGGCTGCAGCACAGCCAGCACCAGGCACTGCATAACGCATGTGGACTTCACATAGGGAGAAGGCACAGCCACAGCGCTCTGAAGTGCAAGACACAGCCCCATCTCCAGCACAAATAACTCACTCAAGCCACACCGGCTTGACTTTGTCCCCACATTACCCAGAAGTGTCTGACATGCTTCTGAAGACAGAAGGAGGATTTAAGGCACCATGCCACAGCCCCTCAGCTGCAGGATGAGGAATTCTTGCCTGTGGGATACTCACTATGTTTCCACAGATCTGCCAACAGTAAATGTGTGATGTCTGAGTAGGGATGAGAACAAGCCTCTGGCAAGAAGGCAGTGTTCCTGCATTGGCAGTAATTAAGCTGAAGCCACAAAAGCACAGAAGCTCATCTCACCAGCTAAGATTTGTTGCAGCTTTACCCAGACTAAATTCTCCATCCAACCTTAAGTTAAGCCCTGTTACAGCACAACAAGAAGAGAAGCTTGGAGAACACCAGGGCAAGCTGTTAGCTGGGAGCTCAGGCCCACCTTCTGGCTTCAGCTCTGCTCCCGTGCCTTAGCTTTGCCTATCTATGAGAAGATGGGGGAGCACCTCCTAGTCAGGCTGGCAGGCAACCCCTTTCGTTCCCATGCACTCAGGTGAGAAGGATTCACTACAGCCCAACAGAAAGCTACCAAACTCTCTCCTTGCCTAAGCCTATGCCAGAAGACAGCCTCCCCGGTGCTCTTCCTCCCAGGGTTCAGCAGCAACCCCAAAGGTCCACTTCCAAGCAACAGTTCTTGCTGAATAAGTAACCCCCAGATCCCTTCTGTCATCCTTTGCTCCCTGAGATCCTTCCTCTTGCATCTGTAAAGTATTAGCGTAAGAAATGACTCCCTGCAGCCCCACCCTGATGAGGCAAGCTCACCTGCATCCTCAGGATAGGTCATACCCTGACAACCATCTGGCTGCTTCATTGCTCCAGACATTGCAAGGGCTGTCCAGACAGCACAGGCCTCAGGGCAGGAGAAGACAAGTGGCTGGAGAACAGCAGTGAAGCAGCTGCTGCCTGTGGCTTTCAACCCCATGCATTTGGGCAAGCAAGTGGAAGCATGCTCACAGTGGCTAGGTAGGAATGTGAAAGAGCAGAGCTTGCGTGAGAATGCTTCTCACCACCACATACATGTGCAAAGGTGTGCACCCACCTACACACTGATCCAGGTTTTCTTCCTGCCGAGGGGAAGGAATGCTGATGTAGAAGGCTGATGGAGAGCTCACCCAAAGGGCCTTGTTTCCAGAGAATTTCTCCTTGCAACCATGGTGGTGTCAGCCTTTAGTCATGCCAGTGTCCTTGGCTCAAGCACCTCCTGCACCATCCCAGGGCAGCAAGATGCAGCAGCAGCCGCACAGGAAAAACCTTCTTCTCAGCTCTGCTTGCTCACAGCATTCCCACCCTCATCATTGTTTTGGGAATAGGTGGAAAATGTCAGCAGGGCGCTGGGTGCGGGGGGAGGGGTCAGGAAAAAGGAAAAACAGATGATTAGATTTTTTTAAATCAGCCAATAAGTTATATTAACTTTTCCACTGACCTTCTGTTGGGTCACATTATCAGGCTGGTGAATATGGTTCATGAAGATAGCATTATGCTCAGATTTCAAGCTGTGTAGAAAGTGCATCCCAAGCAGTTTGCCAAAATGGAAACGTCAGCTCTGCCAGAGGGCTGTGCTGCTGGGAGGCAGTGCTGCACGTTGCCCTGTGAGGGAAGCAGGATCCAGCCCCTACCAAATATCCCATTCCAATTCCTTGCAGCACTCTCTCCACTCTTACTTAAAAGGCCCAGATCCCAGGAGGGTGAGATTTTGCCAACTGTGCCTTTTACTGCTTTTTCCTTGGCACTGCTTGCAGCTGTGACGGCACTGAGGTGAGAGACAGCTGCAGGTGCTGGGCACATACATGGAGTGGGCAGCACTGCATCCCCAAGCAGCACCACACCTTCTGCATGACCACAGAGCCACTTGCATTGGCTTCTTGTGCAGCTGCAGTGCTGGAGCACCAGCAGGGAGGCTGCGGATGCTGGTGTCTCCCAAAAGGCACAGACTGGTGCTCACACAGTGAGGACAAGGCAACCGTGCCTTGGCAGCTGGGGCAATAGAACAGGGCAGGGGGGAAAATGTTCCCCAAGGTGCTGGGGCAGAGCTTGCCAAAAGCCTATGCTCATCACTTGCAGTGGCACAGTAGCATCATGACCCTGTCCTGGTCTCCATGGAGAGCTGCTTGGTCTCCCTCACCCCTGCTAGCCTAGTGAGGCCAAAATTAGCCTCCCCTCCGCGTGCGCTGAGTAGAAGAGTCACAATTGTATCTCAGGAAGACATTATTGTACTCCATGAGCCCTATCTTATCAGTGAGAGGAAAATAGGACTTTGACAAATTGCCTCTGCTGCAGCTGGGGTAAGCACATGATTCTCAGGAGTCGCCCACCCGCCAGCACTGCCACGGCCACTATTGTTCCCATCCCAGCACTGCGCGGGGCCCGGGCTGTGCGACCCTCCTGCTAGGAAGGAGCACGCAGGGCCCCACGCATTGTGTTTGCAGCCGGCGCAGTGGTGGGGAGGCGGCTGGGCTTGGATTGATCCCTTTATCATCAGCTCTGAGTGCTGATAAGGTGACATCACCGGCCAGAGCGGGGACTTGAACCTTTTTGCAAGGAGATTCTTATCAGTGGACTCTGGCAGGGCTGCGTTCATGCTTCAGCCAGCAGCTGAAAGCAGGGCCACCCCATGAGTCTTTGACACGATAGGAAGGGTTTGTTTTGCCTCACACAATGGCTGCTCAGATCCGGTCCCACAATTCGGCACGGGGAAGCCTCACAGCACATCAAAGGCATGACTTCTCCACCAGGGCCTGAGGCCCCTGTAGGCATGAAGCACCCACTGAGAGATGCGTGCCATTCCCAGCCTTGGGTCTGCTCCCTCTGGTCTCTGAATCAATTCCCTCTTTTAGCCCTTCTTCATTGTGGCAGTGCCCATATTCCCGCTGTGCTGCACTCACCACCCACCACCACACTGGCTATGGTGCTCACTACGGTGCCCCTACCTTCACTGCAAGCTGCTCCACTGCGTGGGCATGTTCCTGCACAGCCCCCAGTTCAAGTGAGGATGAGGAAGCTGTGCACAAAGTACAGAATCCTTAAGATTGGAAAAGAGCTCGAGGATGAAGTCCAACCATCAACCCTTGTCCCTCAGTGCCACATGTCCATGGTACTTGAACACTTCCATGGATGGTGACCCCACCACCTCTCTGGGCAGCCTGTGCCAGTGCACCACCAGTCTTTCCAAGAAGAAATTCTTCCTAGTATCCAACCTAAAACAAGTACTTGTTGCCAGAGTGCTGACAGGTTCCTCAGAAACATCCATGAGAGGACCTGGCCCTGCCTCGCCAGGCACAGCCACTATCCAAAATTTGGTTTATAATAGTGGGACACAAAACAGTCACTGGAGCAGATCAGGGTCTGCTCGTCCTGGCAAACCTGGGCCAGGTCATGGCCAGAGCAGAGCTGCGTGGACAAAGCAGAGACGGCAGCACAGTGACCTCCTTTCACCCACCCTTCTGCTCCCTGCGGCACAGCCCTGGGACCTCCCGAGCCAGCGGAGGCAGCCCCAGCTTCTTGCTGTCCCCATATCATTCATCTGAGCTCTGCCGCCCAAAATATCCTACAGTGATTTCCACAGCTAATCTGGGCTGCCTCTGAGTATGCCTCTAGCCAGATCAATGTCAGACCTGTCTGTCTCTGTGCTCTGAGGCACAGTAATGGTGCTTCAACACCACCAAACCCATCACATCTTCTTCTCAAAACTCACCCCACTCACAGTGCCCCAGGACCACCCGCCAGGCACTGCAGGGGCCCCAGCAGACATCTTGCTGCCACTCCAGGGAGCAGCTGGGGTGCCCACCACTTGTTTCACTGTGTGTTATCTTATCGCCATAGGAAAGGCAATACAGCAGAAGAATTTCCTCTCCTTTATCTTTCCAGCCTTTCCATTGTCTGGTGTCTGGAGTTCTGAGCCTCGCCACTCAGCAATTCACATAGGCCCTTGGAAACCTGGTTGCAGAGTTCTTATCAGCCTGAGCTCTGCAAAGTCTCCTTCTGCCATGGCAGAGTCTGGCCTCCCAGTGCCCCATCCTTACTTTGCAGCACATTTCCCACTGCCTGAGAGAGGTGCCGGCTCTGCTCCTCACTTGTGCAGTGCAAAGCAGCATAGAGCTACACAGGTCCCCATCCCAGATCCTCTGCAGCTCTGACACAGCTCAGGCCAAGCACCCGCCGCCTCCCACCCAGCTGCAGGGCCAGGGCAGCAGGGCACAGCCCACAGCTTTGAAAGCTTCAGACAAAGCAGTACTTTGTGTGTCGCAAATGCATCAGCGTGGGCTGCGAGAGGCCCAGGATGCCACACACTGCAGCTGCAGCCTCAGCAGCGTGCAGGTGGCCCATGGCACTTGCACATGCCCAATGCTGTAACGCAGCCTGGCTGCTCCCTCGCCATGACTGCACCCACAAAGCTACAGCTTCTTCTTGTCCACACCACACATCTTATGAGGCACCAAGTCACCCTAGAGAGGAAGGTACCTAGGCACAGTCCCTTTTTCAAATCCCAACTGGTAAGGGAAAGCCATTCCACACCCATGTTCAAAGGAGGGCACAAGCAGTCAGTGCTGGACAAGAGCCGCTTCTTCCCATAAAAAAAAGGAACGGGCTAGAATTGAAACTAAAATTTTTATACTTCTCCTTAGCAATGCAAGCAAAGCTCAAAGCAGAACTGATTTAGG